AACACTCACTTGGAAGAACTTCCTGCCTGACTTTTTAGCCACTTGAAAGATCAGAACTCTCCAAGTTGCTTCTGAAGTTGGAATGTTGAACAGCAATTCTACCAAAGGGTCATTAGAAGCAATTACCTACCTCTTCTGGTTTCACATCTCTGCTGGTGAAATCCTTTATGCAATCCAGGAAGCAGTTTTCTGTAAGTTTATTGTAGGTTCCAAGAAACTCCTTGAACTGTAAATAAAAACTGGACAATGAGTATCCAAAACAAATTCTGTGTTAATTTTTCTTACACACACCTGCCTGGCCCAGCTGGGGACACCGATACTGAAGGACAAGTCACTAGAAAAACTCAGTGTCAGTCAGAAGATTTCAGCACCAAATGCTGCTCCTACTCGAATCAGACACTAAACTGTGCTTGTCAACAGTCAGGTGTTTAAATCTGGGTCGCTGCAGAACTGGCCTTAACTTAGATGGTAACTTACACTTTGTCCCCATGTCCCACACCTGTCACTCAATGTGACAAGGTGATAAAAGACCTTCAAAGCCACCGCTCACAAACACAACACCTCACCTGCTTGATCTGGTCAGACTCGGAGATCTGCCCGGCCATGTTCCCCCGCCTGCGTCTCAGTCACCTGCTCTGAAACGAGAGTCGAGTTTCACACGAAAAGCATAAACATGAACTGCAGCATTTACATCAGAATGGAATGTTGTACATCCCTGAAGTGTGTTTAAATGGAACTCTGCTGGCAAACTTCCCAGCCATTCACTCCAAGGGGAGTTACATTTCTGAAATGTATTCAGTGAAAAGAACATCCACGATAATTCCAGGTACCTTCCCAAATCCACCTGTTAACTGCTGCCCTCGGAACACTTTAAGGCATTTCAAACAGCTAAAGTAACTTATAAAATACCTTATTTATGTTTTTTTAAGTGCTGTCAAACCTATCTAAGGTTTATCACAGATGACAATGCAAACTAACATCACGTGTTGATGAGAAGAAGCTCCTTCAATCTAATTCATATCAACTTGTAGAAGAAAAATGAGCACTGCAGTGTAATCACTTTGTGATAAAAAACTTTATTGAGCCCTTCAGGAAGGGCTACTCACAATTAAACTTCTATTATGTTTAGCCAAATTTTGGGCAAGACATTCATGTTTTATAAAGCTTTAACTGTTCCAATCTCTCAGCAGGGGGAAGGGAAGGGGTACAAGGACACAGTAACAATTATTTCTGCAACAGAAAGAAAACTAAGGAACTAAAAACAGCGCCAGGGAGCTCTCAGAAGGATGAACTCTCCCTACACCCCTTCCAGCAGCACAGGGATTATGACATCTGCCTCTTAACATCACACTGTCCCTGCACAGGGAGCCAACTCAGGGATTGGAAGTCAAGTGCACATAGGATTCTTGGATTTAGGATGGACATCCCCACAACCAAGAATTCATCAGGGGCACACACTGTGAAGGAGAATCTACAGAATCTGGTGGTTAAGAAGAAAAATGTGTTATTTGGGTTTTCACTGAATCACAGAATGGTTTGGGTTGGAAGGGATCTTAAATATCATCCAGTCCCACCCCCCTCCCTGCCACGGGCAGGGATTCCTTCCACTATCCCAGGTTATTCCAAGCCCCATCCAACCTGGCCTTGGACACTTCCAGGGATGGAGCAGCCACAGCTCCTCTGGGCAACCTGTGCCAGGGCCTCCCCACCCTCACAGGCAAGAATTTCTTTCTAGTATCCAATCCCTGCCCTCTGTCAGTGGGAAGCCATTCCCTCCTGTCCTGTCACTCCAGGCCCTTGTCCAAAGTCCTTCTCCAGTTTTCCTTCCCTATCCTACACCTCAAACTTGTTTTAGGATGATGGTTATGGAGGAAAACAACTGGTGAAAAGGGATGGCCCCTCCACTCTCATTTCTCAGCCTGTTAGACAATAAGGGCAGTGACAATTCTGCCAGGTCAGTGTAGGTAGATAATTAAAGAGGCAGAAACCACAGGAAAGATTTTTGCCTCTGCCAAGCACAGGAAGCTCAAAGCTTCAACAGTCAGTGCCATTTTCTCACACTCAGTGATGCTTCGTAATTTCTGTTTGTAGCAAACCTGGTCTGTTTTTCTGGACTAGTTTGGCAAGATTCAAAACTGCAGATTGAAACTGCAGTTTCACAAAGCTCTGGCTCCTGGGAAAGGCTCTGATTTCCATCAGCACAGTGGCACCATCTGATTGTCAGAGTCTGCAGCCCTTGTTCTGCTGCAGGTGTTTCACACGTTCCACAGCCCAGCAGTGAAATCCCACAGCTCTGCTGCACCTTTAGCTCCAAATCACAGGCCTGAACACCTAAAAATGTGCTACCTGGGCATTCCCAGGAATGTGCATATCTAGTTCGCTCTAAATTCTGGCAAATGTATCATTTCAAGCTTTCCTGCTGTTTCTCCCTTTCCCTTCCAACCTCTGGAAAAAAAAAACAAACTTAAAACCCAGGGATGGTTCCAAATATGTTCTGATGTTCTGAAGAGACATTAAGACAAGTCCCTGTGAGTAAAATAAGCAGTCAAGGATAACCTGAGGGTTTGGGTTCTCTCACTTGGGCATTTTCCATCCTCCTCCCACAAGCACAGCCTTTAGTCCATTCAAGCCCCTTCTCTGGGCAAGATCCACCCCAGCTCCCAGCCCAGTTTTAGAATCTGCAAAATGCTTCTAATATTTGCCTCTGCTGTGGCTGCCACTCCCACTGCCACGGAAACAATAACACAGGCCAGAGTGACAGCTTTCCTTAAGAAGGAAAAGCTGGTTTGTAACTAAAACCGGTGATTAGGTGAAGGATCCTGAGCACGGCAGGAGAAGAAGGAACCCGAACTGCAGATGTCAGAACCCTCCTAAAACTTCTGATCTGTGGGAATGCAGCTTCCACAGCTGTGTCTCCAGGCCTCACAAGGTAGAGGGATTATGAACTTAACTCCTAAGGGCTAATAATTGGAACACAGCTTTTAATTATTATAGTAATTACTGTACTGCTGGGTGACCAAAAAGCCTCCCTCCATTCCCAGCCTGGAGTTGTTGAAGGTGAAGCACTTGAAGGAAGTTTTTTTTCTCCCCCAAGTAACCACCATTCTTGTCCAAGACCTAATCTGGAGTCAGGAGAATCCTTTCCCATGGAAGTTAAACGAGCCCTGTGTTTGGGGTGGATTTTTTCCACCTTTTTTGTGAGGAGATGCATTTTCGTGGTGATGGAGAGACACCATAAATCCATCATGCTTGTTATACTGATTAGCATCTGAATTAGGTCTAGGGAATGCCTACTTTATCAAGATAAAGATAAATATCTTTTTAAGCCTTTGCTTCCAGTTGTACACAGGGAACACCACGTGAGTGTTTCTGAAAAGGACAAGGAAGAACGAAAACATCAGGTCAAAGAAATGTGTCAAAATCAAGAGGAATAAAAATACTGAGTCAAAGGCTTGCGTCAAGATAAAGAATAAAAATACAGGTGCAAGGAACTATGTCAAGATAAAGCCCCCACGGCCTATAAAGTTCTCTTTATTGCTGGGGATCATTAGGCTAAAACCTGATCGATATTTAGATTTTTTAAAAAAACAAACTAATTGATTTTAAGAGGCCAAGGGCCTTTAAAGAAGTGGGAAGCACATGGTGAGGTGAGAAAGGGGTTGGTCAGAAGGAGGCCGGATAAGCAGCTGTACCTGGTGCACGGGTTATTCTAACCCACAGTATCTTGGATTTGGCCGGGACCCGGAAGGAAAAGAGGTGGATTGTGGAAATCTGACACCAAAGGGGAGTTACCACGGTCAGTGCTAAATCAGAGCCCCGAGAGCTTCTCCGAACACGTGCGAGGGCCTGTGCTGGGAGGAAACACACCTCTTCCCTACGAAATCAAAACCTGGAGATAAAACAACTTCGCATCGATTTATTTTTTTTCCCTCCCTTTCACCCCATCCTCTAGCTCCCCCTTCCAAAACCACCTTGGGTTCCCCCTGCTCGGGGGTCACTCGCTCAAGGCCCCGCGGCAGAACCCCAGACACGGAGCGCCTTTCTCCCCGCCGGGAAAACCCCGGGGCAGGGACGGGTTTCCCCTTCCCAGACCCTCAGGGAGCGCCCCGGTCCTTCAGGGGAACGCTCCCGGCCTCTCAGGAGCGCTCCGCGGCCCTCGGGAACATACCTGGGCCCTCGGGAACACTCTGGGCCCCTTGCAGGCTCTCCCTGCACCTCAGGAGCTCTCCCGGTCCTTTGGAATACTCCCGTCCCTTAGGACACCTCCCTGTCCCTCAAGGGCGCTCTCTGTCCCTCAGGAACCTTTCCGGGCCTTCAGGAGCCCTCCCGCTCCCTCGGGCACACTCCCGGACCCTCACGGGCGCTCTCTATCCCTCAGAAGCCTTCCCCGTCCGTGAGGAACACCCCCTGTCCCTCACGGGCTCTCCCGGGGCCTTCAGGAGCCCTCCCGAGCTCTCCCCACCGCTCGCGGGCTCTCCTGGTCCCTCGGGAATGCTCCCGGCCCCTCAGGAATACTCTGGGCCCCTTACGGGCTCTCCCGGCATCTCAGGAGCACTCCCGGCCCCTCAAGGGCGCTCTCTGTCCCTCAGGAGCCCTCCCGGACCCTCCGAACACTCCCAGTCCCTCTCGGGCACTCCCGGGCCCTCGGGAACTCTCCCCGTCCCTCAGGACGCCTCCGGGTCCCTGAGGAACACTCCCTGTCCCTGCCGGGCTCTCCCGGTCCCTCAGGAGCACGCCCGGTCCCCACCCCGGGCTCACTCACCGGCCCCACGCGTGCCGCGGCCCCGCAGTTTCGCCGCGGGGCGGGGAGAGCGGGCGGCGCTCGCGTCCCCCCACACACACACTCAAGCCCCGCAGATTCGCCACCCGAGCCGACGAATCGGCCGATTCCTCTCCCTTTTTCTCCCGCCGGGCGCGGCGCTTCCCGCCGGGCGCTCTGAAAGGGCAGGAACGCCGTGGCCATGGCAGCCGCCGGCGGGAGCGGCTGAGCCGGAGCGGGGCCCGCGACCTGCGAGGGAGCCGCGCCCCGGGAGCCCTCAGGCCGCCACTGTGTGAGATCCCCCCCCGTACACCCACCCACACCCCCCTCCATGGAAGCGCGGAGCGGCTCCAGCTCCAGCCGGGATTCCCTGGGCAGCCTCACGGCGGGCGAGGTGCTGATCCGCTCCACGGGGCTCCGCGGGGAGAAGCCCCCCGGGCGGGCCGTGACGGTGGCGGTGCAGAAGCTCCGTGAGGGGCTCTGCCCGTGCCCGGGACCCGGGGCGGGTTCGGCCGCACACGGAGCCCCCCCGGCCCCATGCGGGGCTGGGACCCCCCGCAGCAACGCTCCAGGTGCGTCTCTTACCATCATTTACCTTCATTTACCTTCGTTTACCATAATATACAGCTCAGGCTGGTGCTAGAAACCCTGAGAAGTGTTTGCAGCCACAGAGGACTTAACGTGGTGAAGGCATCTTTGTGTTCTCCTCCCGCAAATGTCAGCACTCCTTCTTTTCCCCAAGCTGTTCTGCACGTAAAAGCCGAGCTGTGCAGGGTGGTAAAACACTGGCACAGGTTGTCCCGAGAAGTTCTGAATGCCCCATTCCTGGAAATGTTCAAGGCCAGGTTGGATGGGGCTTGGAGAAACCTGGTCTAGTGCAAGGTGTCCCTGTCCATTGGGGCATGGATGTTTATTCCCTGTTAAACATCCCTGTTTATACCCTGTTTAAAGGATGTTCAATAATCTGTTTTTCAGAGAGTTTTTCACATGCTGTAAAGCAAGCCTCTAATCCAGGCTCTCAGAACTCACAGATGTTTATAAACTTCAGCTCCATGTCCAGGGTCACTTCTGTTTTCAACGTCATCATGTTTAGGGATTCAAAGAGAAGGGGAATGTGGAGATTTGGGTTAGTCAAGCTGGTAGTGAAAATGACCACAGTAAAACTGCTTTTATTTTTAGGAGTCCTCAGCACTAAGGGATATCCAGAACTTCTGCTCCCACTGGAAGATGCAGAGCCCGTGTTTTTATCCCAAATGGTAAGAAAAGCTGCCGTTGCTTCCTGCAGTCCTGAACTAAGAGAACAAACAGCATTTTCCTCAAACAGCTGTAGCTCCTCTGAAAACATTGTGCAAAGCCTGAGCCAAACATTTGTGATGTTTTTAGAGACATTAGTTTATGTGGAATTCTTTGATACCTGCTTAATTCTCTGTGGGGGAGTAATCCTGAATTGTTTGAGATTAACAATTTGGCTAAACTTTAAACAAGTGTAGTTTCACTATTACTTTTTTGGCCGTAAATGGGGACAATACACTTAATCAGCACTTAAAATACATATTTTTAATCTGAATTGTGCTTCTAAGGTTTTAGTCCCTAAAAGGGCCTGTGAGTTCTTGACTACCAAGTCCAGATAATTCTGTGGTGGAGGTTTCGTGGCACAAGTTTTGTGCCAAGACCTTGTGTTAGTGTGTGGGTATGATTCCATTCGTGTAATAATTTGCACAATTCCACTTAACTTCTCAAATTTTGGCCACTGAAAGCAAAGGCTTTGATGTTGCCTTTTCTGCTCTTCCTCTGAAGGATTTTCCAGGAGAGGCTGCAGTGCAGGAAGATCCTTCACCTCTACTGGAGGACAGCAGAGACTCTGAAGGTAAGACACATCAATCTACCGATAGAGCCCCTTTTCTGTGAGAAAACTGATTAATGAGAGGAAAGGGCAGCTTTAATTTTAGCTTAGGTATTTATTCTTCTTCATTATGGAAACTCTGGAGGGAAAATATTAAAAGTTTTCTTTGATAAAAAGATAATCGTTGTAATTGTAATTTACACTCAACTTTTGCTAATTTTGCCTCATTCTTGCTGGCATTGCAGTAGCTCTTGGGATTAACTGAGTGGGACTTCTACAAGTTCACCAGAACACTGAGATTCCTTTTGCTGATCAAACTTCATGTCTCTGAATAGAGAATTTGGGGAAGGGCTTGTCTGGATGCATTTTCCTGTTGGGAATAATTGTACTACAAAGCCATATTTTTCTCCAGGCAGCCTGTTCCATAAAAGCATATTTTGAATAGTTAAGAACCTTAAGAAATCACGATGGAAACGTCTTTAACTTCTGAATCTGCCAGTTCCAATCAGATTTGGGGAAGGGAAGATTTTTTTTTTTTTTTAAAGCAAATACACTTCTGCAGGTTCCTTGGATGTGTGGGGCTGTGTAGAGGAAAGAAACACAAATCACTCCCCTGTTTAAGGCCATAAATCAATACTTCAGTTTTTTTCTTCTGTTTAGAGGTTGTTTCCTCTGCTGAGCTGTGGTAAAGCCTTCCCTTACTCCCATCATTGCTTAAATCTGTTACTTAGTGAAGTGACTGGTTACTGCAGTAGGTGATGTGGTGGGTGCAGGCTGCAGATTCTTCACAGCAAAACTGTAGGTTTTGAAACAATACTTTGTTTCTACCCGTGCCATTGACATTTTGTGTCAGTCAGCTCCACAGAGTGTGTTTGTATCCTTCCCCACAGGTGATGTTTTTATTTCTCAATATGCTGCTGGGCAGAAGGAGGCTCTGAGGGCAGTGCTAAAGCAAAAGTGAGTACGTGCTGTTGGCAGTGACTCAGCTGCTCTGTTTCTGTGCAGAGATCCAATTCTACCCCTTCAGTTTTTGCCAAAATGTTTAGCTGGCAAGGAAAAAAAAAAAGTATTATTTACTGTTCTTTTTCTGTCTGGGAAGGTGTTTTCAGTTTATTTTATCATTCACTGGAGCATCTTGTTTATTTGGGGTATTTTGGAGAACACCTTTAGCCTTTGGAATCAACGGTTTCATGACAGAAGAGTCAGGCAAGATAATTCACCTTGTGCCAAAACCACGTGCCAAAAACATTTTTAAAGGCAGATAAGGGCACGTGCTGTTTATCCACAGGATGGAAATTTTGAGGATCAAAAATGTAGTTGGATTTGGCTGCTGGAATCACAGAATGGTTTGGGTTGGAAGGGACCTTAAAGACCCATCTTGTTCCAACCCCCTTCCAACCCCTTCCACTAGACCAGGTTGCTCCAAGCCCCATCCAACCTGGAATACTGAACTTCACAGAACGCAGGCTGCAAACACATTCTTTGTTGTGGTTCCAGGAAAGTGCCTTTTTATATTAGGAACTGTAACATAAACCTGAGACATTTCTGATTTCATCCTAAAAGATGGGAGTGAATTTGTTTTGTGTGTGCTGAAAGCTTCGAGGAGAAATGCTTATGGAGTGATGTCATTGCTGTGTGTGGGAAATGGTTTGCTTGGAGGGGATGTGGAGAAAACCAGGCTATTGACAGGCACTTGTTTTTATAGAGCCCAGAATACTCCTGTGCTCAAGGAGGTGAAGGTGCAGCTCCTGGGAAATGCCTCCACAGAAAGGAAGGAAGGTGTTGGACACGACCCCAGGGCAGCACCCAGGGAAGTGGACTCTGCAACAACCATTGCAGCAGCCACTGCTGCTGCCATTGCCAGCACAGCCCCCCTCCTCAAGGTGAGCAGGTGGCTTGTGGGAGGGTGAGTTCTTTGTCCACTAAAACCAGCAGATGTTCCAGACGAGCCTCAGATTGTTTGTGGTGGCTCCAGAGAGCCTGAAGGTCTCTGCTCCCTGTTTTCTGTGTGCCTGGAATCTCACACTCACTCACCAGCACACCAGAGGGAACTCATCTGGATTGGCTGACTGAGCAAAGGACAGAGACCATTTCATTTACCTTTTGGAGATTCATAATATTGCTGAGCCACCAAACATTGGGGCTAATGAGGATTTCAGTTGTGTCTTTTGGGAAGCAAATTCAAAACTCTGGATTGCACCACTTGTGCAGTGAGGATTTTTTTTCCCCCCTTCCTTTTTCTTCCTTTTTTTTTTTTTTTAATTTTTTTTTATGTCCTCTCTTGCAGGTCCAAAATGATTTGGAAGCCAAAGTGAACTCGGTTTCAGCATTACTTGATAAGCTGCAGGAGACAGACAGACACCTGCAGCGTGTGGCTGAACAGCAAACCCACGGGAGGGCTCAGCAGGACAAGCCCCACTGTCACCAGAGGGTCAGGGAGCTGGAAAATCAAATGAATACTCTCATGGTGCAGAGGATTCAGCACCTGGAAAAGCTACAGGAGCAGCAAATGAATATTCAGGTGCCTCAAGTCACGATGCAGAAGCTTTAGCTTAATCATTTCTTCTGTATCTCGGTGTTAATATTGTAATAATTTGGATTATGTCTCAGTATTAGGAAGAAAGGAAGATCCAGTGGCCAGCTCAGGAGCTTTTGGGAAAAGTTTTGTTTCTTGTTCTGTCCCAGATACCTCCTTCACCCTCCTCCCTTTACTTTCCTGTGGAAAGTAAATGCAAAAACTGTGAAATGTTCTCATTCCCTCTGAGAAATTGTTTAGATCTGTGTTAATTGAGGGAACTTCTATTTAATAAGTAGCCCCATTAAAAAACTTAAGTTATATTTAAAAGTGCTCTGTGCTTTTTGAAGGGTAGAATAATGTCCAAGCCTGTCTGTGTTCTGAGATTGTTGTGAATGACTTTTTTCCTCCAATAGAATGCCAAAATCCATTTAGCACGATTTCATGGCAGGTGTTTACTCATGCCAAGGTTTCTCCTTGGGGCAATGAGAGCACATATCAGCAACGCTCTGTGTTTTTGTCTCTCAGTGCCATCTCCTCAGCTCTGCAGTGAACACACGGGGCTTCCAGCAGAGTCCTGGGCCTTCCTCCAGCCTCCTGCCAAAGCCTCCTGAGCAGCCAGAGCAGAGACCCCTCTCCAACCCAGTGCCTTTGTGTCCCAGGGGTTTGTTCCCTGCCACTGATGCTCCTGCCCAAGGTGAAGGCAAACTCTTAGTTCTTCATTTTCAGTCTTAGTTTGGCATTGATTTTGTTTCCCTTAATATTGGATTGTACAAGACACCAATGATAAGCAGTAAACATTCCTTCAGTATAATTGGCTTTATTGCCTGAAGTGGTGTATAACACAACACATATTCTAAAGATATTCCAGTATCCTCCAGTTCAAATTAAAGTGAGAGTTTTGGTTTACCAAGTGCTTGGTCTGCACCAGGAGAGGCCTGGACTGAACTTAAAATAATCTTAGTGAGGAATAATCTGTGGGGGAGCCTGGAATGAATTAGTTCCTATTATAATTAGGTTTGGGGCTTTCTGCTCCCTTAATAATAATAACATTCAGAGATACAAAATGTTCTTCCTGTTTACTTTTTTAACCAGTTCTGTGATGTTTTGCTTTTTTATGAAAAATTCAGAAAGCTGGCATGGCTCTTTTTTTTCCCTAGATTTTTTTTCTGGATTCTGTAAGGGAATGGAGGGAGAGGACAAGGGGGAATGGCTTCAAACTGCCAGAGGGCAGGGTTAGATGGGATTATTGGGAAGAAATTCTCCCCTGTGAGGGTGGGGAGGCCCTGGCACAGCTTTTCCAGAGAACCTGTGGCTGCCCCATCTCTGAAAGTGTCCAAAGCCAGGCTGGATGGGGCTTGGAGCAACCTGGGCTAGTGGAAGGTGTCCCTGCCCATGGCAGAGGGTTGGAATGAGATGATCTTTAAGGTCCTTTCCAACCCAAACCATTCTGGGCTTCTCTAATATCTTTTCCTAGGAAGAAGATTGTTACCCTTTAAATAACTCCTTTTGCTTATGTTCCCTGAAGCCTTTCCAAGCCATTTTCCAAGTCCTGGCATTCCTACCCAAAAATCTCCCCTGAAGACCCCAGTTCCTCGCAGATGTGCCCCAGAGCCTGTGTCCAAACATGGCAGAATCTCTGGGATGGAAAAGGAAAACGTTCCCAAAGCTACAACTGAAGGTATTGTGAGACACACTCTGTGTGCTCCTCACCTGCTCTGGGCTGTTGGTTTGGCTCTTCGGGTAAAAGTAATGAAAACAGGTGCAAAGCAAACGTGGAGTAATTGTCTTTCACCGCTTTTGAGCATGAAACTCAGGTCTGAAGGTTTAATCAAAAAAATAAAGCACCTTTTTTTCAGTGGGTTGTGTTTGAGGATGTAGATTGAGGAAGAACAGTGAAAGGATCCAGCCACTGTGCTCTAACGAAGTGCCTGGGTGTGTCTTTATCAGACCCTTCTCGGGTGCTGCTTCTGGCTCTGGTACAAAGCTGTGATGTATTTCTGTTGTTCAGGGGGTCCAGGAATAAATGGAATGAGGCAAAGGAAGAAACATCCTGTCCATAATGGCACAGATTTGTTCTCTGTGACTCAGTTCATTGCCACCCCAGTTTCATTCATCTACACTCTGGTTTTGTTAATTTACAGCACTCTTAGGAACACAGTGTGAGTGGGTTTATGTGACTTGCCTTATCTGAAATAGATCTGTATTTTTAAATTAAAAAATTATTTTTTCCTGTCCTTGGGGAGTATTAGATAGTGGTGAAAAGCGGAAAGGAAAAGAAAGTATTAAATGTGTCGAAAAAAAAGAAGGTAATTTTCTTTTTTTCTGCCTTAGGTGAAAGGAAACTTCTGGAGCATATTCCGAGCTCTCAAGAAATGCCACTGAGGCAAAATGGGTATTCCAAGAAAGCAGCATTGAACAGCAACGAAAGGAGCTGGCATTCTGAGAGAGACAGGTAAATAAACACAGCAACCCAAAACTGAGGAGGGGTTTTTGTTTGTTTTAGTGGAATTGAGGCAGGTGGATCAGATACAGGCAGGTCAGAGTCTCACTGGCACTGTCAGTGCTCGTGGGAGCTGCATGACAACACTTTGGTGGGGAGGAGCAGCAGCCACCTCAGAATTCCTCAGCTTTAGAGTGGGTGGAAAAAATGTTCTGAGCCATCCAATCTGAAATTTATTTTCCCCAGGCAATAATGTGATGTCATAATTTCACTAGTACAGTGAGAAACTGCTGCATTTATACTGTCTGATCTATGATAGTCTGGACAAAAATGTCATTTGCTTCAAATGGAGAGGTATCCAAAGCTTAAATAGAAAAGTAGTTTCGCTGTTGAAAATCCAAGGACACAGCTCAAGGTGTTAAGGGATAAGCAGAGAAAACCCAGTAATCTCTCTGTAAGTTCAGATGGAAAAGCAAATCCCCACTCTATCTGAATTCACTCTTGGTTTCACTGTTGGCTGCTTTCTTGGGCTACATGAGGAACCTTGAGAGTTTTAATCAGGAATGTTTCTCCCATCAGGCACAATCCTTTGCCTGCAGAGCCACTCCCTGCGTTTGAAAGTTACAGTTCAGTTGAGAGGACAGTGAAAAAAGCAGATGATTTACTTCAAGATCTTGGCCAGCTGAGAAGAGAAATGCACAACATGCTCCAGGTAAAAAATCCATGTTAGAGTGACCAGGAGTTTCAATAAGGGGAATAAAAAATGTGGAGATAAACTTTAGAGGTCTGGTGTCAGTAAAAGTGTTGCTTTTGCTTCTACCCCTGTAAAAAAACCAACGTTTGTTTACAATTATTTAAAATATTGGACGTTTTGTGTGGGAAAGGGATTTGAGCCTGAGTGATGGACTGGAGTGGAGAGGCTCTTCCTGCCACTCTGCCAAACATAAAACAGGTGAGAAAAAAAAAAAAAAGGAGTTATTTCCTTGTTTGTTTTCAGGTTTTGGGTGTTTTCAGTGCCTGTTCCCTGCTGGGGTCCTCTCTTCTTGTAAATGTACACAGTGGGAGGGGAGAAGGACTTGTAAATTCAGGTCTCTGAGTTAGCTGGGAACGTGACAGCTCTGATTCTGTTGGCTTCAGCTTTCCCATCATCCTAAAAATACCTTGTGGTACGTGCCAGTTGTTTGTTGCTGGATGTTTAGGAATTGTAGCTTCACTTGTCAGGTGTTACAGCACAGCTGATTGTGTATTTTTGGGTAGGTTTTGTAGCATTTTAGTGGGAATGGCAGGGGAGGGAGACAAAGGGGACAGAAATGGTTTGAAACCTCTTTTCTCTCACGAGAAAGGTCAATGGGAAGACAGAGGTGACTCCAGCAGATGGAAAGCTGGGTCAGTCAGGGACTTTGCAGTTGAATTCTCCTCACTGAGAGGTTTGTGGAGTGAGATGGTAAATGGATGATGAGCCTGTGCTTTGTCACCAGCTGAGGACAGCAGGTGGTGCTCTCAGCCAGCAGGAGTGAGCAGAGACAGTCACTGTGTCTGTCAAACTGATCAAATACCTGCTTTGGATTTGACCCTGACAGATCTGTCTTCAGGTTGAAGTGTCAACAGCTCTCCTTCTGTCTTTTTTAGGAAGCAAATTCATGGAAATCTGACGTGAATGATCTTATTAAGGTATACCTTGATTTTTTTTTTTTTAATTATTATTTTTTTTAAATAGTGTGATACTGGTGCAGTTTTGAACGTGTTTGCAGTGACATAACACTGCAGTGACTGTGTGTGTTCATTAACAGGTTGCTGTTATGTACAGATTACATTACCCAAAGTAAGATTTAACTCGTTCTTAGACTTGTCCAAATCAGGTCTTACTGAAAGTACCTCGAGGGGATAATAAAATGTCAGGCAAAAAGCTGCTGTCTCAAGTGGACACAGTGTGGACTGATAAGACAATTATCATTTCATGATCTGGGCCTACCTGGCAACTTCGCATCATTTTCCAGTTGAACGTGGATTTGTAATTCTTACGTTTTCTCACAGGTTTTACCTCTTAGTGAGCTGCTGTTTGTCAAAAAAATTCATTATAAAGTGAAAGCCTTTGTAAAATTGCTAAATAATTCAGTATTTTGTCCTTTTCTCGCCAGGGAAAGCCAGGCCCATGGAATCAGTGTGTTGGCTCTGTTTTGTTGTGTCCACTGTGACAAAACACCTGTTAGAACATAAACTTTGTGTTTAATTCTGATTGGAAAAAAGAACAGCCTTAAAATCAAAACTGAGTTGTGATCTGTGAGGTCTTTTGTTTTTTTTCCTGTTCATTCAGTTGATGCTTTCAGAGTCTACTCAAGATTGAGTATTTTGGGTTTGATTTTTTTTTTAATGTACATTTATCTCTTTTTTAATTTTTTTTGTTGATGTTAAATGAAGTGCCCAGGGGCCCCTGGGTTTCCTCAGGAGTGTGAGAATGAATGTGAGAACTCCTTTCCTGTGTTTGTGTCCCTTCCTTTTGTATTTAGCAGCTAATTTATGCTGGATTTTTATCTCTGGGAAAACAAAAGGCTTCATTGTTCCTTCTGAAAAGTGAAGATCAGTGAAAGTGGGAGAGGACCGAGGGCTGTTCAGGGGTTTGTCTCCTTGTTGAAACTTAGAAGTATTAATTGGTGTTTCTTGGGGTAGGCTGATGCCCAAACAAGTGCATAAATTGAGAGAAGGTTGATTTTTATTAGGCTTTAATTATATTTAATTGCTGTCCCATGGAGAGATTTCCATGTGAGGCTTCATGTCCCTCACTGCCATCTCTTCCCATGCTCCCAGCCTTCATCAGCACTGCTCCTCAGGCTTTAATCATTTCCCATTGGAGGGTTTTTTTTTTGGGTGTCTGGCAGTTTTCTTGATTTCTAAAATATATTTGCCATGTGCTGAATGTTCTGGAGTAGCTCAGGTTGGTTGCACTCCCTGGGATGGCACTGACAGGATCACAGATTAACAGGAAATTACAATCTCTGATCGATTAAGAGCTGGAGGTTCTGTTTCCATTTCAGTCCAAAAACCCCACTGTTGCACCTGATCCTCCTGAGCATCCTCTGCTCGATAGACCCTCCATCCTTCAAAACATCCCAGTGCCCAAATCCATCCTGAGCGACGCTGAGAGGACTCTGAGAGGAGTTCAGAACAACAAGAAGGTCCTCGAGGAGAATCTGGAAGCCGTCACTCGTGCAAAGGATGGAGATGCCACCTATTCCCTCATCAACAGCTTGGCTACAAACAGGTCAGACCCTTGAATTCGGCTGCTCCTTGTCTGGGCGCTCCTTTTAGCTCCTCTTTGCCAAGTTTTTTCTCAGCAATCTTTAGCTGGTTCTCAAACTTCTGGTGGTGTTCGCTTCCACACACACATTCCAAGCAAACAAGAAAACTCAGGATTTGTGTCATCATTTGTGATCCCGCAAACGTTACGGAATTACTCATCCTGCAGCGCATCTCTGGCTTTTGAGCTTCTGCTGCGTTGCTTGTGTTAAACACTCCTGCTTGAATCATAATGAGAGTTCTCCTGGTAAAATGCAACTTGAACTTGCATTTTCCTGAGGAAAGTAACTATTCTGTATATAGGTAAAGATTTTTTTTATCAGGCACGATATCTGCTCTCGTTATCTTGCAGAGCAGGTAGTAATTTCTCATCTGCTTTTTGCCTTTTGAGCTGGAGTGTTTTTGTAGCCCTGTTTTATCAGTTTTGGTCACCTTCCATCTCTGTTCTGGATTTCCCTTTCTGTAGCGTTTACAGGTTACTGCTTTCTCCCAGGAGCAAATCTGTGCAGATTAAAAAGAGTGACCTAAAATAGTTCTGTCTTCTGTTTCAGAGACGTGTTGGAAGAGATTCGTATCAGGAGGACAGTGGATGAGTGGATCAAGGCAATCAGTGAAGAAATCCAGGTATGACTGGAAAAAAAAAATGAGCTCAGATTTTTGCCTCATGTTTTTTCCACCTTGTTCTTTTGTGCCCATGGTGAAGTTGTTGGCTCACACCTTGAAAACCTGAGAAAACTGCTTGTTGTTCCCGGGCTATAATAAAATATTCACTTTTTATTTTGGAATTTTAGTTTCTTAATGGAAATCACCGGTCCTAGTTGTGGAGAACGTGGAAAACAACCCATTTCTCAGAACTCCAAAGTTACCCACCCACTCTTCTGATAGCCTTGAAGTTAAAAACCTCCATTTACTGTGCTTTGTGTTTTCTCTTCAGGCCGAAATGGCGAGAAACGATTGGGAACAAGGGAAACACGAGCAAAAACTCCCCTGGATCAAGAGAGCCCAAAGCCTCAAGGCCATGAAGGCCAAGAAAGAAATAAAAGCCAAAACTCAAAACGTCCCAGGCTGCTTGACAAGGCTGCCTGTGTGTGCAGCTAAACCACTGCAGAAGCAAGAGGAAGAAAACACCAGGAAACTGAGGCTCAGAACTTACTTTGCTGAAGGTTTGCAGAGGAGAGAAGGAAGGGCAGATGTGAGTTCCCAAGTGCTTGGTCTCTTTTTTTGCTGTCAATGCACCACCTGTAATAATTTGAAGTGAAAGTGGTGGCCCTGCCCCGTTCAGATTTTCACAGGTGAAGAATTGTAAACTGCTTTTTTTTGTTTTGTTTTGTTTTGTTTTGTTTTCCCTCTTGCTGTGCAATCAGGGCCCTGGCAGTGGGAGTGCACTGGTACCCAGTGAAGATTATCTGTGTCGGGTTTATGGCAAACCAATTTACCAGGGCCATCGGAGCACCCTCAAAAAGGCCCCATATCTGAGGTTCAACTCCCCCTCTCCCAAATCCAAACCTCCAAGGGCCAAGCTGATAGAGTGTGTTAAAGGTAAGTCACCATTTGATGGGAACAAGGTGTTCCTTCCCAGTTTTTCCTGTTAGGAATTCCTTGTGGAAGTGAAGCTGTTTAACTGTAGTTCACCTGCTCTTCAATTTGAAGCTTTTTAGAAGGGTGGTCACTGCCCCAGGTTTGTCAGGGTTTAGGAGGCATTTAGAAAATGCCCTTATAAATAATATATATCTCTCTATATCTTTAGATCTAGATCTATTTCTATATATCTATATATAAAATATATGTGTGTGTGTATATATATATTTAAATATAAAAATACCAGTCTTTAACTTTTGGTCATTTCTAAATTTAATGAGTATATTAATAGATCTCTCTTGTTGGCCAACTCTTAAAGAGCTGAATTGCCAGAAGTGACCCCATCTGAGAGCTGAGTGTGCTGGAAAATGAACTCACCTTCTCATAAAGGTCACTGAGAAATTAATATTCCTCCTGTCAGGTTTATCCAGTCGTGGATATTTTACATTCATTCAGAGCTCAGAAAGGTGCTGAGATTTGAAAGATTAAGGAAGCCTGAAAGTTAATTTCCCACTTCTGAGACGTTAATTGAAACATGAAAAATTAAACTTGTGGGCTTGAAGATGACATCTGTTAACTCAGATGTATTGGAAGATGTCATCAGAATCGTTGGTGGAGTTCCCTAAATGCAGGCAACTTCTTTTGTTACTCCAGTCAGGGTTAAAAGCAGAGTATAACTCCTTTCTGGAGGAGCTTGTGAAGGCTATTTGATTGATAAAGGTTATTAGTGGATTAATAATTAATTCCATTCATTAGCTTTGTAGGCAAAGTATTAAGATAAGATTCAGTTCCATCAACTCAAACCTATTAAAAACATGTAAAAATTATCAAAAAGTAGGACTGTGATATCTGACCTAAGTGGTGATAAACTTAATCTTGAGTGAGTAGAAAGTAATGTTTTAATTGGATCAGTTTGATTTCCTAGTTTTCTTCTTGAAATTTAACTGATCCTTAACACAGAAGATAAGGTGAATCTTTAACTGGCATGTCAGAAAATCTAATTTGTGTTAGATTTTTTAATCTGTTATTGCTGCAGGATACAGTGAGCAAATAAAGGATAGAATCTCTTGTTTGGCCCAAGGTGCTCTTGGTGCCATGTCCTGGCACTTTTCCTCCCTGTGATCCATGGAGAAAAAGTGCCACTGGTAAAAAATATTCCCAGTTCTCATAACCCTCCTGGAAAATGTGAGTTTACAGTCCTGGCAGAAACCTAGAAAAGCTCAAGACTTGCTTTCTTTTTTAAAAGGTGAGAACTGGTTTCATGAAAACTGATAGTCTTGTTGCTTATATATTTTATTTTCCCTCTCTTGAAACATGTCTTTTTTTTTTTTTTTTTGTGCAAAATGCTATGCTGGTACATCACTCATTTTGACTCCTGGCCATGCTGCACACCTCTAATTTAATTTATTCTGCACAGATTTGTTTGAACAAAATGTGTGCTGGTAAGCACTTGGTGTAGAGCAGTAACAGCAACACAGTGACCACTGAGATTTGGATTGAGAACAGTCACTTCTTTAAAAAAAAAAATATTTAATCAGCAGTTCTACTTCTGCTGAGTCCAAAATTAATTTTCTTCTGCACTTATTGGCCTCTTGTCCTTTCTGGAAGGTCACAACCTTTGCAGGGAGGCTGATTTCATCACTGAGGTGTCTTGTAAAGTGGTAGAAACTGATTTTTACTTTATTTATTTATTTGTTTGTTTGTTTGTTTATTTTTAAATGAGCTCAGCCTTTGTTGGATACAGGCATGGCTTTGGGTAAGACAGTTGCTCAAGGTGCTTTATTTCTGTGCTTTCTACACCTTGTCAATGAACTGGAGCAGTGACAGCTGATGTTTCACGTGGGTCTCGTGAAGATGAAGCAGTTTAAGTGCTTTGGCTGCTGTTGGGAAGATCCTGCTGTGGCAGGGAAGGAGAAATAATAAAATTAGAACCAGATCTGTGCTCTTCTGTAGCAGGAGTAAATAAAATGCAGCAGAGTTGAGTTCTTAAAAAAAGAAAGAAAGAAACCAATCTCCCATCATCCTTCCCTTCCCTTCCCAGCTCTGCACCCTCAGATTCCCTTCCTGCCCTTGATGTCCCAGGTGATAAAAGGCTGGAAGAAAGAGCTGGAAGTCTTTGGCCTTGGCTTGGATTGGCTGGAAAATCCAGACTTATTAAATGACCCTGTTTGTGTCAGAGCTTGGTTTAAATTAGTGTGTTAGAATAAGGATGTTTATTTAAGGCTGGAATGGCCATCTGGAGAGTCTCTTTTCAGTCATTTTATAACTCTCCACCATTTTCTTTGCAAATAAACTGTGGTGACTAATGCTCGCTTTCTTATGGGAAGTTAGAGGGGGGAAAAAAAATTGACCAGAAAAAAAAGTCAACCACACAGAGATCATTTCTTAAAAAAAAAGAAAAAGTTGGAGTTGTTTTCTTGCATAATGTGAACTGATAAATACATGGAAGACACTAGGTTTGTTTTTTTTAAATTAATTAAATGTCCAGTTTCTACCCAGCTCAAATAAACTTTTGAGAGGGGGGGGGGAAATGAAAAGTTGGAAAGCAATTAAAACTGAGGTGCTGTGTGTGTACAGTCCTTCATCATTCCCACTGGGAGAGCCTTGTTTTTACAAGCTGGCAGCCCTACAGATGCGCTGCCAAGTCCTGCTTTTGCTCAAGAGTTCAAGGCCAAGGGGGACTGTGAGATCATGCAGTGTGACCTCTGCTAAATCCCAGGCCTCTGAGCTGGATCTGTTTATGTTGCTGACTCCAGGAATTTGTCTCTGACTGCAGAACAGTTTTCCTGGCCAACCTGTGCTGGGCAGAAAGGCCCATGCTCAGCATTTAAAAGCATCAGAAATTCTGCCCTTAGTTGCTTCTTCCCATGGTTGGACACCTTCTGGTTCAACAGGAAACAAGACGTTTCAAATTTAGGATCTGATTTGTACTCAGGTTTTGGCTTCAGTTTGCAGCTACTTCAGTTTCCAGGTGATTTTTTTTTTCCTTAAAAAATTTAAAAAAAGGCCTCTCCATGTCCAGTCTATTTTAATACTTCCAGAGATACAGACTTAATAACTGGATGCAGAGTTACCATCCATGGAAATCTCCTCCTGCTCCATCTCTCTGACATCCTCTTGAGACACCTGAGGGTTTTACCCCGTTGGCCACAGCACTTGTGTTGTGATTCCTCTTCCCACAGCAAAGCCTTTTCCTGAGCCTCTTCCCTCTGACCTCTCCCTGAAGAGTTAGGACTTGCTGTTCCTGTTTCCAGGCTTATAACCCATAATTTGTCTCCCTTTGTGAGGGAATTGCCTTTGTTTGCATGGCTGTGTTTGTTAAAAGCCACATTATCAATCTTTTTTTTATTCCTGTATTTTGTAACCGTTGACTTTCATTCCTCAGCTAATCAGGAGGCTCCTAAAGGTGAACAGAGCTAAAAAGTGCTGAAGTGGTCATGGACACAGGGATTTGATGATTAGAAACATCAGAGGAGTAAGATGAGGGGGTTTTTTGGCTGTAACAAAGAGATGGGGTTGGTTGCCAACATGATCCTTCCCAGATTCATCTTCCTGATGCCTACAAAGCAGCAGCAGAAGCACTTCTGTTTGATTCACAACCGTTGACTCCCTTTTGGGGAGGAATTTTCAGGCAGTCTTTATCCATTTGGATTAAAGTTAATAATTTCCTTGATAATAACCGTTGTTTGCAAAGAATTGAGGCTGGAGTGGGATCTGGCAGGGCTGGATAGTGAGAAATGCACTTTGCAATAAATGCCGTTCTGCTATAGACTGAAGGTACTTTTACACACAAATTACCTCTGGCTGCTATTTACAATAAACTTCAAAAACCGGCCAGAGAGATCAGTGCTTCCTTGATGCTGGAAGTCAGGAATGATGGGTATGGCTTATGGCTTGATTTGCCGGTAGCAGTGAGTTGTTAAACCAAGGAATTTGCAGATTCTACCTGTTCCTTTTGACTACCTGCCATTCTCGTGGCTGCATTTCAAACCTAAATCATGGATTTCTCCTTGGCAGCTGAATCACCCCTTTCATTCCAGCTGCTGCCATCCCTGTGTCCTTCCCATGTTTCTGTGCTTCCAACTGATGGACTCAGCTGGAAAAATTGCAATTTGAACTCCTTCATTGCTGTCAATATACTGAGACATCTCCCTTAGCACTTTTAGATTCTACCCTTCCTGACTCCCTCCCTCATTCCCTCCATCCCCCAGCAAAAATTTCTAATTCCTTCAGCAGGAAGGCCTGGATTGGCCTGAACTGGGACATCCCTGGGTTTGGATGTGTTGATGACATGCAGTTGATCTGCTCTTCTCTCAGGTACAAAGGTTAAGTCAGCCAGAACCCAGACTTCTTCTCACACCCAGAGGGTCATCCCCAAACCCAGGAAACATCACCCTGTGTATGCCCTTGCCCAGGAAAATCGCTATCTCTTCAGTCCCAGTCAGGATGTGCCTCCTGCCTATGAAGGTCCCCTGGAAGGTCACCTCATTCCCATGGCTATTCCACTAGGTAGGAGCAAAGAACCTGGAGAAGGGTGGGTGTGGAGGTTCATTACTGCTGCTTCACGGGAATACAGCTTGTGTGTCCTTAAATCACTGATTTGAGGCTTGGAATTAAATGATCTCTGAGGTGCCTTTCAACCCAAAGTATTCTATGGTGTGCCCTGGGCCACGAGATTTGCAGCTGCTCTTCTCAGAGGATAGCTGGGGGATCAGTTTAAAATGTTCTGCTTTTCCTCATTTCCACTTTTTCCTGGATATCTAGTGGATGTCCAGACACCCTGAGAGAGCAATTATTTCAGCAGAATCACAGAAGGGTTTGGGTTGGAAGGGACCTTCAGGATCATCTTGTTCCGTGGGACACCTTCCCCAGGACCAGTTTGCTCAGAGCTCCAGCCAACCTGGCCTGGAACACTTCCAGGGTTGGGGCATCCACAGCTTTCCTGGGCAACCTGGGCCATTATTTCCTGTAGAGGGAATAATTTCTTCCTGATATCCAGTCTCAAGCTACTCCCTGTCAGTTTGAGGTGAGGGAAGCACGGTGTGTGTAGTTTTTGAACAGCAAACACAATTCTGGTTTTCAGCAGTAGGTGTCACCACCGTCAAGAATTTTAAAAATGGCACTGTTGAGTTTACAATTTCTGCTGGGAAAGCCTTAAAATTACCTGGTGAATCAGCGTGGTGTTAATAGGGGGCTTTTTAATTGCTCTGTAATTGCACACAGAATCTCAGTCTGACACAGACAGAAATAAATTCTAATGAATTTATGAATTCACTGACTTTGGAGACTTATCTGTATTTTTAATTGTTTTTCAACCGTGCTCAGGTCAGACCCGGAGCAGCAGCACAACCCTGCAGCCTGCTGGGATCATTGAGGACAAACCACACCCTGTCACAGTTACAACCTCCCTCCCTCAGGTGCCAAAACCTCCAGTTGAGATAAAAAAACCAAACATAGCTGTGATAGAGATGAGATCAGAGAAGAAGGATCCACCTCAGCTCTCTGTGCAGGTACTTGTCAAGAGTGATGATTGTTTGTTTGTTTTAATGAATGCTAATTAAAGGCGGTCTGATCCACCACTAATGCTCTTTGACATCAGTAGATGGTTTTCAGCAAGCAATAAAAACACAAGGAATGGAGGGACCACGAAGTTCTCATGCTGTGCTAATATATTCACTCCTATTTTATCAATTACCTTTATTATTTTATGAGAAGAGAAAACTATTTCTTCCCTGTTTCACCTAGGCAGGGTGTGTGTAAAATAGATTTATGTCACATTTTCTCTTTTTTTTTTTTTTTTTAATGAGATTTTCCAACCAGAACAAACTTGGAATCAAAAAAATATAAAACATAAATGTCAGTTTTCTTGGATGGCTGCTTTGACCTTTAAGATTTCTGTTTCAGGCATGATTGTCAACCCAAGGCTTTCACTGCTGATTAATCAACCCCTGCAGTCCTTACCTGGTGGGCTGGAGTTGATTGTTGGCACGAGAAAACTGAAGTTTAGTGGCTCAGTAGCAACTGGAAGAACCCGAAAAGTTTAGTGCTGACAGCCAAGCTAATACATAGATTTTTATATTGATATTTTTGTTTTTCCTTTCCCAGGTGTTACCAAATGTGGACATCGACAGTGTTTCGAGTGGCAGTGTGAGTTTAAACCACGTTCCTGCAGGCTCTGAACCTCCCCTTCCTCCTGGGGATGCTGTGATACAGGTGGGGATTGTCTGGGAATTCACATTTGCTCAGAGAAGAAAACATGTTTAGTTGCTGCAAAGTTATCTCCTTGCCTTGTTTTAGTTAGAGAAATGAGACAGCTCCAAGAAAAATGGAGTAATAATTCTAAGGAATTTATAGTGTAAGGTATTTGTTTTAAGAAAATGAGGAATTGCAGCAAGACACCATTCTTCCAAGATTGAATAATCACCATAGTAAAACACCTCTGCCATGAGGAAAGGCTGAGGGGATTGGGATTGTTCAGCCTGGGGAGGAGGGTTTGGGGTGACCTAGTGCAGCCTGAAGGAACTATTTACAATGGCCTGGGGTGACAGAGGAGGAGGGAATGGCTTCCCACTGACAGGGAGGGGGTTTAGGTGGGATATTGGGAAGAAATTCTTCCCAGTGAGGGTGGGGAGGCCGTGGCAGAGGTTGCCCGGAGAAGCTGTGGCTGCCCCACCCCTGGAAGTGTTCAAGGTCAGGTTGGACAGGATTTAGATCAACCTGGGCTAGTGGAAGGTGTCCCTGCCCATGGCAGGGGGGCTGAAGGAGATTGTCTTTAATGTCCCTTCCAACCCCAAACATCCTGTGATTGATTATTAAATAACACCGTAGAAATTGTACATAAGTAAATTGCTTAAGACACTTAAGGGACCATTGCCCTACAGCTTTTGATGCTGAAATATTCCATTAGGTCTGGTAAGAGCAGGTTTTAGTTGTCAGCATGCAAGAAGAAGTTGTTCTAATAATCTCTCTTTATGCTGTGCAAAGAAATTCCTCCTGACTTGTGAGGTGGATAAAGCATTTGCTCTCAGCTCAGACTATTGACAGTGAGTGGTGATTTAATTGCATTCTTGTCATGAAGCTTTTCTGCTAATGCATTTCCCCCTCCTGTATGAAATACCTTAACAATTGCAATCTGTCTTTCTAAGACCCCAGAAGATGTACCCAGTGAAGAGGAAGACACAAAGTTTCCAGGAGCAAATTTCATTTGCGTCACTGATGTCATGCAGGTAATCACAGTGCAAAAGGGTCCTTTCTTTTTTAAAAAAAGAGGTGTATTTGTTTTATATAATTCTGTCATATCTGAAAACAATTATAAACAATACTAGCAGCTTTAAAAGTGCACATAGTGAGCAATGCTATACCAGTTTAGAGTGCTATAAAGAATATTAGGGATTACTGTGTGTTGGTTAAGTAGAGTAGCTTTGGGAGACTTAGAGCAAAAAGCTTAAATTAGCTTTTACTTGGATATGTTAGAATCCACTAGAAATACAAGTAGTTCTCTCTGAAATCAGCAGTGATTACAGCACTTGGATTTCACAATTTTAAACTCTTAATGTAATGAATATGTTGACAGGCTGGGAGAGCTGGGGTTGTTCAGCCTGGAGAGGAGAAGGCTCCAGGGAGACCTCAGAGCACCTTCCAGCGCCTGAAGGGGCTCCAAGAGCTGGAGAGGGACTGGGGACAAGGGCCTGGAGGGACAGGACAAGGGGAATGGCTTCAAACTGACAGGGCAGGGTGAGATGGGATATTGGGAAGAAATTCTTGCCTGTGAGGGCAATGAGGCCCTGGCACAGGCTGCCCAGAGAAGCTGTGGCTGCCCCATCCCTGGAAGTGTCCAAGGGCTTGGAGAAACCTGGACTAGTGGAAGGTGTCCCTGCCCATGGCAGGGCTTGGAATGAGATGGTCTTTGAGGTCCCTTCCAACCCAACCCAACCTAACCCATTCTGTGATTCTATATAAGATTCTCTGACAGACTTTAAAGAAAGGTGACCTCACTTTGGAAGAATGAAAGTATTATCTGAGGGTTCCTTTTGGAAAATTTCAGTACAGAGCAATTTGCATGTGCTTCTGAGGTCCTAAAATACCTCATTGCAGTCAAACATTGTAAGTTTAGGGGAGAAAGGACAAACACGAAAAGTGGTCCCAGCACCAAGCCTGGCAGAGTTCAGGTGTTTGGAAAATGCTCTCAGGCACAGGATGGGACTCTTGGGGAGGGTCCTGTGCAGGGCCAGGAGTTGCACTTGGCGATCCTTGTGGGTCCCTTCCCCATGCCAGATTTATTTTTAAAATGAATTCCTCATTTAACATCATCACTGGGTTAAAACAGCCCTGAATTGGTGGTTTGTCTATCACAACTGTGCAAATGCTTTATTCACTCATAGTTTCAAAGTTGCTGATGCTGTTGGAGGGGAGGAGTTAAATCTGTGTGGACACTCTTCTTCTGTTTGCATTAAAGAAAAAAAAAAAAAGCTTTAATTTATGAAACTAAACAAGAAAGTTCTTCAAGAAATCATTTTATGAACTGACAAAAAACGCTGCAATGCTAAATTTTTATTATGTGAATAATAGTTATTCATCTTTTCTGTTTTCATCTTTTTTTCCTGGATTGCTTTTATCTTCTCTTTTTGGCGAGGAGATGTATTTTAACCACAATACCAAAAAAAAAATAAAAAATGTTCCAAGTGAAACATATGTTTGGCCTGTGACCACACAGACAATGTTCTTAAAAATGTGCAAGGCAAACACAATGTGGAAACATAAAATCAATCTCTGGAGTGGCAGGGGTATTTAAGACATCAAAAGAAAGCAAAGTTATTGTTATAAAAGAGGCTTCAGATTCAAGAAAAAAAATGTGCATAAAACTCTATATGGAAAACCAGCTCATTGCTGTCTTCCCCCCCCCTCTCCCTTTTATTATGAAAACTTAATTCTGTTAGAGCTGAGGAGGAGAAGTATTTGTGTGAAATATCTTTTTGGGGGTTTATCTTTTCCTGGTTTTTTTCTCCTCTGGAAGTGTTCCAGGCCAGGTTGGACGGAGCTTGGAGCAAACCTGGGCTAGTGGAAGGTGTCCCTGCCCGTGGCTACCTCTCCATCTTGTGTTTAAAGACCCAGAGCTCTAGCCATCCCAGGGGACCTTCAGCAAATCCAGTGGGATTTAGGCTTGGAGACCCTTTTTGCTCTCTCTAAACATGCCCCGAGTGCAAAGTGGGGACTTGTTTATCAGATTTTTTTTTTTGCTTCTAATTTCCGCAGCACTCAAAATTTAGAACTTCCAGAGCTTACAGAGCAAGTGCATTTTCCTCAGCCCTGGTTTCCCTCAGGCAGAAGATCCCAGGTGACACCTGCAGTGCATCCTGGCCTTGCCTGGGAGAATTCCTTTAGAAATCCATCAAGGAATCCATGCTTGAAGTTTTGGGAGGCTTTGATAAAAAACTCTGCATATACATGTTTGGTAATGGAACAAAACTAATCCATACCACTGATCGTTTCCAACTTTTTTTTTTTTTTTTTTTTGAGTTATCTCCAGGTAATTTGGGGAAATAGAATTTCAGCTTACTACTTTGTAATAAAGTACAGTGATTAATATTCCAATCATATCTGAAAGACCTTCTAATTTATGCCATTTTTTGATTGGGAGTCGTGATAGGTATTTTCAACAGTCCCCAGGGAAGCAAAATGCAGAATTAAGTGCAGATTATTCAAGATTGGTCTACAAGGTGATATATGTTCAAGTTCAATCTGTATAATTAAATACTGGCTGTAATATTATTTTTTTTATTTCAGCAGAGATGATATATCACCCCAGAAATGAATACAATTTTCCTCTGGGTTCGTGCATTATTGTGGATTTGTGCACTGTTAAATACCAAATATTTTAGAAATGCAGGAGGACTGCAAAAGTTTGTCAGAGTTACTGAATCCATGAAAGATTTATTGTCTGGACTTGGTTTATTTAATCCAGATGCTTGCATTTTGCATGCTCTCAGAAGCATTAAACAGGCAACATCAAAGCCAATTTATGGAGTAAAGCAGGGAGAAGAAAGTGCATCCTGAAATGCTGGACAAAGACATCTTCACATTTGCTGTCAGGATGAATTGTGGCTCTGAGCACAGACATCCTGACAGCAAGAGGGGAACCAAACTGCTTATTTCCCTGCCCAGAATGGTTCAGAGATCTTTGGCTGTCCCCCAAATATTCATATTCTGCAGGAATATCCATATTCCTGCTTCTTTGAGGAATTATCCCTACATGAGGATGCAGAAGGATCCTGTTCCCCAATAGCTCTTTGTTGTAATTCCCATCAGGGACCTCTCTGACTTTGCAGTTTTAAAGTAATATTGAGGTAGATGAGAATTATTAATGCTGGGTAAGGGAAGGAGATGGGAAAATGTCACTTTATCTTTTTATTTCCCCCTTCTCTGTTCTTTCTGTTTTCAGTGATTTGTTCTCTTATTCAGGGATAATATATAGCATGTTTGGGTTTAGGTTGGTTTTTTTTTTATTTTATGGGTTAAAAGTAAGTTTAATTTATGTGAGGGAAAAGAAGATTTTTTTTTTTCTCTCTCCTTTCACTGTGTTGGAAATTAATCTTAGTAAATGTGGATTTACAGGGAGCTCTTTTAAGCACCATCACACACTTCTCACTGGTAATTCAGGGCCCAGCTCTCCATCTCTTTGTGCCATTCCAGATTTTCTTCTTAGAAAATCACATTCCCATTAGAGACATTTGATTTTAATATTTTTTTTTAATATTTTAATATCACAAGGGAAAGGATGCAGGTTCTCATCCATCAGGAGACAGGACAGTGGGATAGCTTGGTGACTGCTCCTTGGGACTTGGGGCTGTGAATCCAGGGAAAAAGGAGGGAGGAATCTTTTGGGAACAGCCAAACATTTTATAACACACCCCAAGGAACTTCTGTAAATTTTTTAGAAATTCGCACATTATCATGAAAATCAAGATGTCTGGGAGAATCTTGTGAATTACCACCCAGAAATGCCTTTTAACTTCCAGCAGCTGGAGTTGATGGAAGTGTAAACACACGTGTAACATGTGTGTCAAACATTCATGTCTGCTCTGCAAGTTCATTAGAATTTTGACAGATTACCTTAACTTGGGGCAGTGTGTCTTTTCAGACAGGAGGCTTTAAAGAACCAAGTTTAATTCATTTAAAAAAAAAAAAACCAACAAAACAAACAAACAAAAAAACCCCAACTCAACAAGTAACTGTAGGAAGTTTCCTGAAGCTTTTGGTTTAGGGGAGGAACATTAAAGAAACTTGACTTATATCACAAATACATTTTTCAGGTGTTAGCATTAGCACTGGCTCCCTGCCCTGGGCAGGAAATAAGAGCCAAATCATGGTTTATTTAGCAGTTCCTAGAACTTTAGAGCTCTGCAGATTTATGATTTGCTGAGCTCAGAGCTGTATCAATTAACCAGGCCAGGCTGAGGAGGGAGAAGGTGGTTTGTGTGCTGTGACACATCTACAAGTGTTTCTTCAAGAAAAAAAAAAAAACCTGACAGCTACCTCAGTGACATTGCCCCATAACTCAATTTACTGCTTATTCATTAGGAGCAGGAAGAGGAGAGGGATGAAATTCCAGAGTTCTCTGAGCCTCTGCTGGAGCTCAATGGCCAGTTTAAAGTTGCCTCTCCAAAATACAATGGTCCTTTGTTTCCTCCAGTGGCTTCTGCCCCTCAGCAGCCTGCTGATGTGCTGGATGAACTGATCCAGAGGAGAGAAACCATAGAGAACAGGCTGATAAACTGGTGAGTGGCAATGGAACAAAGTGGCAGGAGAATATCTATGGGAGAGGGAATGATTCCCTAATTATCCTGCCCTCTCTTCTCTCCTCTCTTCCCTTCTTCCTTTCCCTTGGAGCTGCCCTTCATTTTAGGTGCTCTTTTTTGGGAGTTTTTAGGTGTGTGTTGGTGTTTGCTGATAGTTAAAGAGATTTTCTCCTGCCAGGGTGGAACAGGAAATAATGGCCAAGATTATCAGTGGGCTGTGCCCAGCTGGGAAGGAAACAGTGCCCAGTGTCAGCACCTCGGAGAGTGAAGATGAGGAGGTTGGGAGCCCTGACATGGGTAAGTGGGAGTTATTGTTCCCAGCAGATGGGATATCTCAATTTCTGGCTCATTTTTACAAGATGTGTAGGTAGCTGTTGCCTGAGCCCAAGGGTGGGTAGTGCTGAACCAGTGAAACTGTAAAAAGCAGCAGTGCACACTTTAATTTACGTGGTGTTAGAAGGCCGTTGAAATAAATTATCTGGGGGGAAAAAGGAAAAAAGAAAGGAAAAGAAGGCATAAATCACCCCACTGTACAAATCACCTTCTGTTACTGGCCATCTAAATCAGACCTGGCGTTTTGCCAAGCCTGTCATGTTTGTTTGCCTTTCTTTTGTTCGTAGATATGTCAAAAATGAGCCCCCACCTTGTGTGAGAGTGGAGAGAAATGCATTTCTCCTGGGATGTCGCTGCTCTTTGCTGCTGCCTTCTTTCATGATCAGGAATTGTTTCTCTACTCTTGTTTATCTTTAAAGTTAAAAAAAAAAAAAAAAACCACACTTTTTTCAAAGGAATGTTCAAAAGCTCATGGAGAATACAATGAGTATAGAACATGCAGTTTAGGAAGTGGGACCTGGACGTGAGTTTTATGTTCCTTTATTTTCAGTTGAAGTTGCAGGTGGAGGAGGATTCCAGCTCTTTGTCAATGCTGGTGTCCCTGTGGACTCAGAAATGATCAATCATTTTGTAAATGAAGCCCTCAGTGAAACAATTGCAACCATGCTGGGTGACAATCAGGCTCAGAGAGCAGCTCCTGATCCCAATGTCCTTCCAAGCACAGTGACTAAGATGGTAAGTGTCCATGTTACCTAAACCTGCCTACAGAAGTTCTGAGGGGTAATTTCTTCCTGGAATGATGACAGGAAAAGGTGGATGAACTGAATGTCCAAAGACAGCTCATGTTATTTTCAATAAAAGTAAGTGTGCTGCTCCCTTGCAACAAATGAGATCTGAAGAAAATAATTCCTTCATCTGAGAAGAGAAGGAAGCTGAGAGTGATATTTTTGGTCTTGTGGGCTTGCAGCCATTCTTTACTATCTGTTAAAATGGCTATTAATTCTTTCTGAGTTTTGAGCTCTGCAGTTTTCAGTAAATGCTTAATTGACTAGTCGAGCTTCCTGTAATAGAGGATAATTTCCTGTGTTCCCTTTGATAATCAGAAGACAGCTGGCTCTTATTTTGCTACCAGCGTGGCTGGGCTGCAAATCTGCTGTTGTGTGATGTCTTTGGGATGCAGGTGGAAATTGCTGTGCTTGGAAATGCAACTCTTGGAGGCTTCGCTGAAGTGGGATCAGTGATTTTGTTCTGCTCAGTGTCTTTAGGCTGCAGTAGCACCTGGTGCCTGCTGTAGGGTCAGTGTGTAGTCAGAAGTGATCAGTTCACTCCTGCATCTCTTCCCATCCCATTACAGAGGAAGGAGGGCCTGATGGCCAAGATGTTCCTTGTAGCCTGTTATTCTGGTCCTTGGAAACCTCTTTTATTGTCCATTCTGCATTTACTGATGGCCCTTTTGTTGCTGCACCAACAACTTCCACTGAAATATCCTTGGGATTATGAATTATTCACAATCCTGAAATGGGTGTTTTTTTCCTTATTCCATATATGTTGCCCACTCCAAGAGAGTGTTTAATTAGCTGTCCTTTAACTTGTGCTCTCATGAGGGGGTTTTTAATGCTCCTTTTCCCATCTGTGCCCAGCTCATGGCAGAAGTTTTGGAATATGCAGTGGATGCATCTTGATCTGTCCCTTCCCACTGGGATATTCCTGTCTAGAACTTCAGCTGTTCTTTACTTCTTTGTTGTCACAATGTGAGCTGCCAAATGTGATGGCATGTTCCACTTTCCACAAGAGATTTTAATAAAAAAATTATCAGTCTCAGGACTTATTCTTCAGCAACTAAACTGGAAGTCTTCCTAGAGCCTGGAAAAATTCTGGAAAGATCCATCACGTTCCTCCATAGCAGCTTAAATGACAGCCATCATACTTGTCAGATTTATGTCCACTGCTGTCATCTTTAAAAGGAACATCACAATTGTGTTTGTGCTTATTTTGGTGCTTTCCTGTCTTGGCTGTTCCTTTGTTTGTCATCTTCCTTTTAGCTGATTTTTCTTCCCATAAAATTACCGGATCGCTCCATTTCATCCGTGTCACGAAATATTTGCTCGCTTAGCATTGAATCAAATGCTTTATTAAACTTCATAAAATAATATAATTCATATTCAGGCTGGACATGAGGAAGCATTTCTGTACCAAGAGGGTGGTCAAACCCTGGGACAGCCTTCCTGGAGAGGTGGTTGATACCCCAGACCTGCCAGTGGTTCTGAGGCTTTCGGGCAACGCCCTCAACAACATCCTTTAAATTTTGGTCAGCCTTGGAAGTGCTCTGACAGCTGGACCAGATGATCACTGTGGGTGAAATAGCCTGTTCTGTTCTCTACATAATGATTTTCCAGTGTCATCATTCTAATGGTTTTTATTTAATTTAATTTGCAGTGGGTTTAATTTATTTTCTCCGGTCACACCGTTTAACTCTGTGTTCAGATCCCTGAAGATGTATCCAAGCAACCACTGTTCCTGCTCTGTGAAAACCTGCCTTTCCCTCTCTTCCCCAGCTCTCTCTCTCTGGGGATATTTGGGAGGCAGGAATTCTGCCTGCAGATAACAACTGTGGTTATGATTTTTTTCTCCCCCCTCAGGAGTCTCCCGTGCCGACGCCACTGCCAACCCCCCAGGCCACCCCACCACCAACACCACCTTCAGAAAAGGAACTGCCCCCAGTCAAAACTCCAGAGCCATCCCCATCTCCCACAGAAATGAGTGAGAGTGAAAAACCTAAAGAAACAGGTATTGAAAAGAAGAACTGAAGTTTTACAAGCAGCAAATATGCTTTAATCTCCTGCCTTTAATTTTCCTCTTCAAAGCCGTGTTATCTCTCAGGATAAATATTCTTGAGGCTATAATACAAGTGGGAACTCATGTAGTACAAAAAAATATGGGCTAATTTATATAAAAAGCAAACATCTTTTTATGTGATAACAGTTCTATTTTCAAACTTAATGCAGATTTCTGTGGTCTGTGTCATTTCCACCCCTCCCAAGCCCTCCACAGTTTTTCACATCAGAAAAATAGCTGTCTTTTGCTCTTTCCTGTGTTGCTAATGTTAATTAAGTCAAATTCACACTTTTCAAGTAAATGAAGAGTGTTTTTAAAACGCAGAGCAATCTCCCTTATTAAAGGAAGTAAGAAATTGAGGTTTTTACTCTTAAATTCTTCAGTTGCCAACACTGGACTTAAAAGAAGCTTTCCTTAATCTAGTCTTGTCTCCATAGTATCACAAAAACTCCCAGGTGCTTGGGTAGAACTGCCTAGATGTGTGATTCACTTCCTGCTTTCCTCTCTGATCTGGGATTTGGCTTCCCACCTGCAGGAGTTGGGATTCCAGCAGCCACAGCCCCTGTTGGCACCCCGGCGGTTACCCCTGTCAATACACCCCCAAGAACCACACCCAGCCCTCCTGCCTCAGAGAGGGGCTCCCACGCTGCCAAAAGGGAAAGTCCAAAGCTTCCAGACCCCTGGGATGGGGCAGAACTTCCTCTGGAAGAAGAGAAACTCAGTCCTTCAGCTCAGGATCCTGTCCGTCCCCAGGCCGTGTGAGTTGAACAGGCTGCACAGTTCTCTCAAAACCATGAATGTGCATATTCTTTCTGCATCTGTCCTCAAAAAGCCAGGAGAAAGGAATGTTTTAGCTGTGTGTCAGGAGGCAGTGAGACAAGCCAGAATTCTGGTTTCTTTTTTAATTGCTTGTGTTGTATATTGGAGGAAAAATGTGGAATTGGAACCTTTCTCGGGGTGTATCAGCCCTTGTTCATTGTCCTGCTGAGTGCTGTACAGAGTGAACTGCTGACACCTGCCAGTAATGCCTGTAGTGACAGTGAAATATTGCATTATTGGCAGTTATTTTTTCTCTTACCTCGTTGGGAGCACACCTGGTCATTTTTAGTTAGAGCCCAAAATTTATTAATAATGTTATTTAGCCCTGTTGGTTCTCAGGCTGTTCCGTGAAATGCTGTGTTCCTTCAGTTGGAAAAAAAAAATACTTGGGAATGAATTTCTTACCAGTACTGAGTTAGGACTTGAGTCTGTGTTGTTCATTGTTTGGTGCATGTTCTCACTTTGCAGTGAGATGTCAGTGGCTAACGATGAGGAACCAGAGGCCTTGATTGTCCCATCCCCCCAGCCCTCAGCGAGGCCCCTGGAGTCACCTCCAAGGCCCCTGGAGTCGCTTCCGAGCCACCCTCAGGTTCCATCCCCCGTGCCCACCGTCAGTTCTGGAGTGTCCACGCAGGAAAGCAGCATCATCACCACCCCCACAGACACTGAAACTACAGACAGGCCCATCTCAGAAGGGGAGCTGCTCTTCAGCTACGGGCAGATGGTGGCTGCAGGAGGTAACCATCTGCATACAGCTGTGGAAATTAATATTTAAATTAATTTTTACTCTTTATAAACCCTTCCAGTCCGCTGAAGTTACATTTCATACGTTTTCTGGTACAACTGTGCAAGCATTAACCTGGTCCTCAGCTTTCAGTTCGTGAAGATTGAAGAGAGCTCGTTGTTCTTTTTCTGGTGTCTGAACAAAATGCTGCTGTTTATTAGTGAGGAAAAAAAAAGAGATTCAATCTGCTCTTTTGTCATGAGATCAACTTGGAAAATAATTGGGACTTGTCATGCTTAAGTACCATGTGGTACTAAGTTCTTACTGACAGCAAAGTGTAAGAAATATGAAAACATGCCTTTATAACACATCCAGCAGTAGGAATTTCCAAATTTACCGAAGCACAGTGTTGTAATTATTAAAGAATGTGGTCTTGTTTTTTTCCCGTGTTTTTGAATAGCTGTAACACAAAATATTTTTCATTCTTAGCAGAAGGAGGGCTGTCTCTTCCAAACCTCAGCGAGAGCTTATCCAGCACTTTACGAGATGCCAATGAGATGGTAAGGAAATGTCTCCCAAAGAAACAGAGTTGATGTGGATTCCACCTTGGGCATCTTTAGCTGTAAACATTTTCACTTACCCAGCTTCTTGAATTTGCACTTTCAAGCTGTACACTCAAAAAGAGTGTTAGAATTTCAGAACATCAAAGACAAAAACTCTTTTCATTATCCAAACTAATTTATATTTTAAAAAGTTGGATTTGTGTACTTCTTTAGGTGAGAGAGAGCAAATACACTTTTTTTTTTGTTTCTTTATTGTTTTTTAGTTTTAAGACATCTGAAACAGAATAGAACCTTGTTATGCTCTGAGCTGTTCCAGCTTTGAGCCATCTTTTAATTGCTTGTGTGATTAAATTATTCAAGTGGGTTTGCTGAGGCTGGAGTGGAAGACAGAGCCAGACTCTGGTGCCTGGTGAAAGGCAGGAGGCACTGGACACAGCTTGGAATTCAGGAAATCCGTTTTTAAACATGACAAATGTTTTTACTTTGGGGGTAACCAAGCTGAAAGAAACTGCCTCGAGCAGCTGGGATGGACCAGACAATCTCCCTTCCAAGCTCCATGAGGCAAATTTAAATGTCCTAGAGTAGGAGTCCACCTCTCTTCTCCCTGCCTCTCCTTCCTAAACATTTCTACACATACATGGCCTGTGCATGTTTTCCCATTTAATATCCATGTTTTCATTCATGCCGTAGAAACACAGAATATCCTGAGTTTTGGCTCATGCATTATATGGGGTTTGTTTCTTTGTTTTAGGATGATGACCCTCCGAGTGAAGGGCAAGTTGTGAGGAGGCTGGATAAAGGATTTCCCAGGGATCCTGTCCTGACTCTTTTAGCCAAATTAAATCAAGCACCTGCTTCTCCACCAGAAGGAATAGACCACTTGGAGGTAACTCACTGTCCTTTTGCTTTCCAGAGCAGTAGTTTTGAAGTGGTGCTTTCCTACTCCCCAAGTGGATAAAACACTGCAAGATTATCCTTCCTGTTGCCAGGGAATTCCCTGGCACTTCAGCAGCAGAGGTGGAATGTTTGACAGGACAAGGACTTTGTGCACTTTGCACATGGTGTTGATGCTGCTCTTTGAGGTAACAAAACCTCAAAATATTCCCGTTCAGTTGGCATAAAAAGCAGACTATCTGCATGGCAGGGTTTTTTTTTTTTTTGTTGTGCATCTAAGTCCTTTCTGTGTGGAAAACAGCAATTTGGACTGGGGTGTTTATTCTGACTGACATAGCTGGAGGAATGTTGGAAGGAAGTGAACTTTGAGTGCTGCAGTATGGTCCATGAACACCTTTATTTACAGCAGCTCTTGCTTTTTGTGCTTTTACTGATGCATGTGCAGTTTCTTCCTTCTGTCTTGGTCAGTTTAGTCTAAATAATGACTGACTTGACTCACTTCCTTAACTGCTCCTTTGTCTTTCTTTATTTTGCTAATGAGCTCTGGTGGATGGACTTGGTGAAAAGCTTTCTACAGTGTCAGCTCCCAGTTCTGCCTGTAATTGCAGTGACATTTTCTCATCAGCACTGCCAATTACAAATGCATCTCTCATTTGCTCTTCCCCTTTCCCATAGCCATGGACCACTCAGTCACTAATAAACTCCCCCCTAAACTAATAAACTAATAAATTAATAAACTCTGGCAAGGTGTGTGCAGGGGTCCCTTCTGCTTTATGAGAGCAACGATATCCTCCTGTGTGTTATTGATATTGCCTTGGGATAATTCTCTGCACACCTTTATGTGTTCAACCTGTTTTTTTCCTGCATGGGAATTTTTTCCATGCAGCTTTGAAAGTCAGGATGCAGAGAACCATCCCTATCTTAAGTGCCCTCCAAACCTGCTTGAAAATGGAAGTACAGCAGAGAGTCAATAGCTTTCAGATGCTGTCAGTGGTTCAAGGTCAGGCAGTCAGCAGTGGTCGAATCTATAACATTAAAGGCTTCACCTGCTAAAAATAGAACTGAGGTTTTGGGCATGTTGGGGTCTCACTAACAAAATAAATGTTGTTTGGCTGCAAGGCACCCTTTTCTGTCCAATATTGATACAGGTAGGTCTTAATTTCAACCCCAGCTGATGTCTCCTGGCTTTGTTTTCTTTATTCAATGCAAATAACTTAGGTTTATATGTGTTTTAAGTGTTAGTGTAATTAGGAAACAACTCCTGGGTTTGGAAAAAAACACTGGGATTTTTTTTTAATCCCTGCTGTTCTGATGTTGGTGTCCCCTGTAGGACTCTGAGGGCAGTGTTGGGGAGCTCAGTGAAGGTCAAAGACCCAGGCTGAGCAGAGCAGAAGAGAGAATCCTGCTGGGACATTCCCTGTTCCTGGCCCATCCAGCTGCTCCGAGCTCTGGGAACAGAGCACACCAGGGATCCTGTCCTGCATCCCCAGGACAGCTCACTCACATTGGAGGTACACTGGTCATTCTTCTCTGGGATTCTCAGGGGGTTCTGTAACAGAATCTGAAATAATTTCAGCCAGTATGTTCAAAATCCAAAATTTACAGGCAATTCCTACAGTGAAATTATCCCTGTTCCGAGAACTGGATTTAATTCAAACCTCTACTCCTCTTTGCAATCTTTAACAATTTGAACAAAAATCATGGCAAGTACCCACTTGCCTATGCAAAAGTTAACTTGTAAGGTATGTATTTTATTCTTCTAAGTCAAATTCAGTCCTGAAGAACACTTAGTTTGCCCACTGATGGGGGTGGTTTCCACTGGACAGGCAGTAACACCAGCAGTTCAAGCTGCCTCTCTCTGTCCCCTGGCACAGCCCTGCTCCTCTTGGCTTTTAGCACTCCATCCTAGTGATGCTGCAGTGTCCCATAAATGACGACATATTTCAGCTTCATCCATTCCTTTAATGATAGGGACATTAATATTTCATATTTTCCCACATGGATACTGAGGCACACACATAGTGGCTTGTACAGGGCAGTGCAGGGATAAATTGCTGTGGTGAACCAGTGACTTTTATTTCTTTCCAGTGGAAACCAGTGCTGAAGCCAGTGGTCCATCCTTCCTCTCCCTTATTTTTTTATCCCAGTGTCTCCATTGTTATCTGAAAATGTACATCCATGCTTGTTTAATTTAACAGCTGCAGAAACTCTTTGTTGACTGTGGTTTTAAATATGTTTAAACCAGACCGAAATCATTATTAAGCTGTTGCAAAACCAGCTTGGTTGCACTGATTCATCAGAAATTGTGTAAATCGAAGTGATCAAACAGCTGGTTTCCTGTCCTTTTAATTTTCACGTGCGTGGATGTGACGAGGGAAGCAGATCTCACATCATTAACCCTTGGCCGCTGGGAAGGAAGTGGATTGACGCTGAACGTGTTCGACACGTGGCAAAAACAATCTTGGAGAAATAAGAATATTTGCTTGGTTTTGAAGTGATTAAACATTTCCACTGCTTCCACAGAGAGTAACCCTTTAAAGTAGCTGTGAGTTTGTAGCACTAACTATCATAGGGGAATTGCCCTGTGCTTTTCCACAATCTGTAATGATCCCACACTGAGTTGTGTTGCATTCTGATGATTTATAGTTGAGCTTCTCTCCCTCCCCACCTCCAAACACAGCCCAGCATTCATTGCACTGCTGAGGAAACATCACAGTATAAAAGCTCAGATCTCCTTTCAAGGCAAGAGTGTTTTCATGTCAGGGAGGAACAGAAAATCTTGTTGCCAACTCCTTTGGTTGGTGAAGTCAACACTGGATAGGAAACAATCCATTTGTGAAGATGGGGAAGGAATGATCCCCAACTGCTCCCACTTTCCTTCCACATCTCTGATCTCACCACTACTGTGTGATTGCCAGTCAAATCACCTGTTCCCTGGTGGCCACAACAGCTGCAATTGAAGCCCATCATCTGCTTGGACAGTTATTTTTAGCGCTAAAATTCAACAATTGTTGCACCAGCGGGTGGCAAAGGTCACATATTTCAGGCTGTGCCTCTCTGTCCATAGAACCTTGCAGTGAGTATTCAGTTTCTCTCTCACAGTGAGCCACTCACAGATGTATCTGTAACAAATTTGGGGATTGTGTGTCTTGTGTCTGGGTTATTTTCAGGTTTGTGACCAGTTTTTATCTGTGTTATGGTGTCCATTTGTAGGCTGGAGCGGGTGTTGCTTGTGCAGATACCCAACAGCAGCCCTTCATTTATAAATCCTTGTTTTCAGTGCTTGAAGTCATAGACAGAGAAACCAACATGCAAATGAAACGTGGCACATGCAGTCTTAAAGTGAACAATAATTACAGTTAATTAAGCAATGATTATAGTTAATTAGGCTTAAAATTCATTCCTTGGCTCTGTATGATAGCAGAAGGCTAAAGTTAGTTCAGGAGCTGTCAGTACATTTTTCATAAAGATGCTTTACATACTTGCAGGCTGCAAAAGCTTGATAAATGCTGGATTAGAGAGCAAATTATCCCTTTAAAATAGACTATATACAGCTTTCTTTTAATAATTTCCTGAAGAATCCTTTCCAGTCCCTTTCCATAAGTGTGATAAAGCTCATTAAGCATCCAAGGTATGATGAACTGTACAGCTCTGAGCCCCTCAGAAATGCTGCCACATTAGAAATCTACAGATGATAAAACTGATTGGTTTTTTTAATTTCCAGAGACTCTTATTTCTTTTTTTCTTTTTTTTTCCCACAAGAATAATTTAAAGGTTGTACAACAGGCCATGTAGGGAGGAAATCACTCTCTCTAATATTGCATAGCCCACTGGTGCATTTTGAAAGGCTGCACGTTCTGCCACAGCGTTTTGACCAGGAAATCGTTGCTCTGGCTCATCAAGGAACTTGTTTTCTCTCGGCAGAAATTCTCGGAGATGCAGATACAACTCACGGGCCGATGCTTCTGGCTGAGCTGGAGTCACAGCCGGCTTCCAATCCTGCCCAGCCAGGCAGCAGAGTGACATCTCCCTCAGAGGATCTGTCCCAGGTGAGCTGCAAGGACTTTTTTTTTCTGTGACTACTCAGAAGGAGCAAACTGGAACCTTGGAAAACAGGTTTTCCTATTCCACTGTCGTCTCTGACATCACACAACCGGTGTATTTGAAGTGACACGTTCAGCTGAGAAACTGAAGTCAGAACTGCGTGTGTGTAATAAAAATGATTGTGTTTCCCCTGGCAAATCCTTACAGTTCCTTTTCTACCTTCTCTTTTTACCTTTTCTGCTCTTCCTCACAGCTTCACTGCTCTCACAGGATTTAATACTAATCTGCTACTCAGTTCAGATGGGGCACAGAGCTTCACATCCAGGGAACGACATCATGGGTACCTGGGAGAGGGAACAGCAGGGAGAGATTTGGCCTCAGAAGTTTTAACCCACTGAGCATTTCAGGAGCTTCATTTGTCCTGATAGGGGCAGGGTTGGGAAGGCAGTAAAGGACAATGTTCCTCAAAACACTTAAAGGTGGAGGAACATCCTATTGATCTCTGCTTCAAACCCAGACAGCTGATTTTTTTTTTTATTAGTATGTGCTGTTACCTAGAGACGATGGTTTACTTGGTAACTAGAGATAAATTCAAATAACAAGTGGCAAAAGCTAAAAACGAGGTGGCAGACTGCTCTCTAATATGTGAAGCTTCACAGGGTGTTTGAAAGTGATTATATATTACCATGGTTGCTGTTTTCATGGGTAAATTCTGCCCTTCCCTGGTGCTCTGGATAAAATAACCTGAAGTATCTTTTATTCACCCAACTGCCATGTCATAACCCACCCTGTGCCACTTTTGGGTTTGTGTTTTTGAGCCTTGATGCCTTTGGTGTCTGAGCAGTCCTTAAATACATCACCTGCAGTGATGTGTTTGCATCTTCACTGAGGATTTTAAGTGTCATGCCCCTTCCACTTTGAGATCACCAGAACATCTTGTTTCTTGGAATGACTGTTCATGGGCCAATCAGGATTCTGTGACCGCTGTGTGTGTTGGGGTGAAGCTCACAGGTCCTTGTTCTTGTCTCACTGGCCAAAATTATGGGGGCAGAGGGGAGAAAACATGTTCCCTTCTTTTAGCCCCCTTAGCTGGGGTAAAGAATACAGTGATTCCTGCATCTCCATCAGCTGCTGGGGTTAGGACTGATTTTTTGCTCGTTTGGGTGCAGGGAAATAATAATTTACTGGGTGTAAGATTGCCCATGGACATGGTCTTACCTGTGCAAGAAATTTCTCTTCCTGTGTGTGTGTTTATTCCTGATGTCAGGTTCCAAATCAGTGTTTCTCCCTCACCTTTCAGCTTTTCAATGCTGTGATTGTACCCATAAGTGACAATGACAATAAACATCCCTCCTGGATGGGGCAAAGCCGTGTTCCATCAGATCCTCTGCCAGATCTGCACCTCCTTCCCTGAAAGGCAAAAAATGATCCCTGCAGCAGATGATTGGAAAGCTTGTTTTGATAGCATCTCCCTGCCACGTGACAACCATGAACCTTTCCCCTCCCTTCAGTTAGGGGTGGCATCTGCATTCAGCTCCACAGCTGGATCTGCTTCGTCACCTGCCTGTGGGAATCAGATTTTCTGGGAGCACAATACCAGCCTAGGAGAGCAAGAGCTGCTCAGGCTTTCGGGATGATTCATTCACTCATTGTGTGCTGTGTTTAAGGAAAATAATCACTTTAAACTCCCTGAAAGGTTTGCTCCCAGGTTAGTCACTGATTCTCACATCAGCTGCTCCACATCTTGTTTTCCATCTGCAGGCGGTGTTTTGCCTTCACTGAAGTTAAACTGTCTCACCTACACACAAAGCCAGCAGACAGATCTGTTCAGGGGCAAGGTTTGCTGAGAGACCTGAGGAAAATGCACTATTTCAGGTGGAGTCCAGCTGACCTTGGCAGAGCTTTGTTCTGATTCGACTGGGAATGATCTTCCTGGGTGTTGGGGTTTGTTGTGGCAAAGCTTGGGTGGTTCCTGCAGGAACCAGACAGGATCCTGGTGTCAGGGATCATCTGTGTCCAACTTGTTTGCTCCCTGGCACTGGTGTGGAGATCAGATTTTGACCAGCACAAAGAGCACTGAATTTTTTCATCGAGGGCACGAGCAAAATGCCTTTTCACTCGTGAAATCTGTGTGGTCACCCCCTCCAAAACAAACAGTTGAAGTCATATAGGAATTCTCTTATCTCCCAAAATTCCTTGGCTGCTCCTCCATCAGGTTTTTTTTTTCTCTAGATTTATAAATGCTTTTAGCCACTGTCAGACATAAAGCCAGACTAAAGGCATCTTCAGTTTGACCCCTTCTTGTGCAACAGTTCAACAATTGCCTGTGCTTTGTGGCCACTCTGCCACCCTGCTCTCAGCTCTGAGGAGCAGGAGGATGACTGGGAGCAAGCTGAGCTCTTCTACTCCAAATAAATCACCCTGATCATGGCAGGGACAGGAACACTGAAGTCATATTTGCCTGGCTAAACATTCCAGAGGTGGTAAATCGAAGTCATCTGAAGGCCCAGTTGGGTTGTTAAAATCGTAGGGAATCGTTTGGTTGCAAAATATGTTCGTGATGCTCTTTTGTGAGTGTGAGTGTTTTTATACAATCCACATTTTTGAAGTGGGATTGGCACTTTGGTATTCTCATTAGCTTTCATTTTTTTTTAGTATTTCAAAAGACATGGCTTTTTTTAATCTTCAGGAATGCATAATTGTAGGTTATGAATATGTTATCTCCCAACTTCTGCTTGCACCTCAGTTCAGTTTAAACTGGTTTTTGGTTCATCTTATTAAAAATTCAAAAGAAAACAACAAAAAAAACACCCCCCCCTTGTGTCCAAGGCCAGGTTGGATGGGGCTTGGAGCAACCTGGGCTAGTGGAAGGTGTCCCTGCTCAGGGCAGGGGGTTGGAACAAGATGATTTTTAAGGTCCCTTCCAACCCAAACCAACCAGTTGATATTTTTCTTTTCCCTTTCAAATTTCTCTTGTTAGTCAGGAGGATCATACCTAGGGAGAAGTCCTAGATGTTGAAGAGAGCCAGGGAAATAATGTGCTCTTTCCACCACGTGCTTTGAGTAAAAATGGAGGGTCTCCTGTGTCTCCAGGTGTAAATGGCACTTGGCCATCCATACCTGCTGCTCCTGGGATATTTGCCCAGAGGCAACAGCAACAGGCTGATTGAGGGCTGAACAAGTGCATATCCTTTAATGAATCTTGAAAAACTTCTTTGGGTGTTTCCTGAAGCTCCAGGTAATCAAAAGTCAGATTTGTGATGTGGTTTTACTGTGTGACCCACAGGAGGAGAGCCAAGGAGCTGCACCAGTGGGGAGTGTGAGACCACGAGTTATTCTCGTGAGAAGGGTGTCTGAGGAGATGGAACAGGAAGGTAAATGATGTCAATGAGCAAACGGTTAAGCACATCGCTTTTGAATATTGTTGTATACTGATGTATAATGAGGTTGTGATTTTTTAAAAAATTTGGTGTTTATTACCACAAAAATTTCCCAAAATTTCCAAGTATTTGTACAGAGTGTGTATATGTGTACATAAATATGATATTGTTGGGGGGCACTCAAAGGATTGGAAATTCAGCCTGGAGAAGGCTCCAAGGAGACCTTAGAGAACCTCCCAGTACCTAAAGGGGCTCCAAGGGAGCTGGAGAGGGACTGGGGGCAAGGGATGGGGGGACAGGACAAAGGGGAATGGCTTTAAACTGCCAGAGGGCAGGGTGAGATGGGATATTGGGAATAAATTCTTCCCCTGTGAGGGTGGATAGGCCCTGGCACAGGTTTTCCAGAGAAGCTGTGGCTGCCCCATCCCTGGAAGTGTTTCCAGGCCAGGTTGGACGGGGCTTGGAGCAACCTTGGATAGTAGGAGGTGTCCCTGCCCGTGGATCATCCCACTGGCTGATCTTTAAGATCCCTTCCAACCCAAACCATTCTGGCACTCTCTGATTCTATTAAATGTATTTGTATGTAATGTAAGCCATCAAAACCCTTGTAATTAAGTATTTATTTAAATTGGTGTTTGCCAGGAGCATCACAATGTGCAGCTTGTGTAGTCAAGTGAATCTTAAATGCTGCTCAGCAAATGAGATATTCCTGAGGTTGTGATGGAAGGGAGTGGTTCCTACCCAGGAGAAAGTGCAGGGGTGATCCACAAGGACTGAAAAGCAGTAGTGAGTTAAGATCATGCAAATGGGGGAAAAAATTACAGATTTTTGATGTTAAAAGGACCTGGTCTGAGATGGGCTTCGAGCTGGTGTGGAGCAGATAAGGATTCCCTTTAGTGAAGGACATCTGTGCTATTTTTGGAGATTACCTAACAGTGTTTGTTCAAAGTGTTGAGGATGATGAAAGAGAGGGAGAGAATATCTTTTATTTATTGTGGTTCAAGTCAGTGTTGGAATAGCACAAACTGTGCACATTACTGCCACGTGTAATTGTTTCAGCAGATAAGAACTTTGTGGAGGTGCTGGAGTGAGATATGGAGCAGTTTTCATCTTGCATGCTGAAAACAGGAATCTAAAAACCTGCATGTCTACAATATATGCAATTATAATTGCTCCACACTAGCACAGACAAATTCTTCCTTCAAGCCCTTTTAAAAATAATTCTTTGAACTTCTTCCATTTAATTTAAAAAAAAAAAAAAAAAACACCAAAACAACCGTCTCTTCGAATTAGAATTCTGAGGGAATTATTTTGCTTCAAATATTTATAACAAGTGGCAAGAAAAGCCCTAGGCCAGTGCTGTTGGAACCTCATTTCAAACCCACGCTTTGCATACGAAGAAAGTTATGAATAATGTAAAAATGACCTGTGGACAATTAGTGGAAAAGCTGAGAGGACTGAAGTGGCACAACTTAGTGC